ATTTTTTTATTTTATGTTTTTTTATTTTTTATTTATTTTTTTTTTTTTTTTCAAAAATTTCCTTGCTGTAATATTTTGATTCACGAATTTTGAAATACCATTTATAATCAACGAAATTTTTTTTCTTTTAATTTAATTGTAATTAGATTAAAAACTAATAATCTAATTATCAGTATTGACGATTATTCGTGTAATTAGATTAGTAAATAAATCTGCGCAGCTAATGATTTATTCTAATATAGCGATTTTTATATAATATATAGTTGTATGCGTACTTCTAATTTGTTAGAATTTATTCGCGGTCTCAGATTTTATATATTATTTTTGTTTACGGGATAGGCATATTTTATAATATTTTGTATAATATTCCAAAAAAAAACAAATATTCCTCAACAATATATTCGTTTCTCTTATTGCAATTTTTTATTTATAATATTCTTCTACATATAGATTTATTGTAAGGAAATTCGTACATTATAAAAAAAGCCTGCATGCATATCCCAGTTTTTAATACAAAACATCTATTGATTACTATATCCCTCTGGGGCCAGCGTTGACTTAGTCCAGCATTTAAACGCTTTGAATAATATATATAATCTGATTTATATATGGCGCATTTATTAAAGAAGTTTTTTTTAATCTTCATAGATTTGTGAAGACATTTTATGTGAACAGAGAAAATTCGATCTATGCAGATCGTGATATGTCCTTAGTATATATTGGTGTGATATAGGAATTTCCTTTTTGTGAAAAATGAATGTGATAAAAGTCTGTGTCTCATAATATTGAGAAAGTATGAAATCAATGAAATTCTATCAGGATTAATTCTATTAAATAAAGAAATAAATTTGTGTGCAAATATTGTATTTGGCGTATGATAGTTATTACAATACTACGATAGTACAATACTACGAGATAGTTAAGGCATGATAATCAGTATTAATATCTTATAACAATTTAATATATGGGACATACTTCACAGGAATTATCATTCTTCAATGTTACATCCATCCCTGAAGCATATCCTACATATTAAATTACATCATGTATTTGCATACAGAGCACTTTGCAATTAATATAACTCAATTGTCTATGAATATCTATATGTTAAATATATGTACTTTTCTAATCTTTTGAACGTAGAAACAATATATTAAACAATTAAACAAATATTATGTTAAAAAGACATTTAAGCAGCTCACACATTTATAAAAAGTGTAATAATATAAAATCTTTTCTAACTTATTGTATGTATATTATGTATAATTTATATTTAAGCTGTTTTATATATAAAAAGATCTATGTGTATATGTGCCATTGTATATGTATACAATATACATATTCAGATAAAAATATAACAATATATAAGATTACTAAAGAGACGTGGAAAATATCAATATTTATGATTATAAAAAATAAGAAAGATTATATATTATATATGCTGTCTTATGGAACGATCATGGAATTCATGTGATGTATGTTGTTTTTATTTGATGTTTATATGTATAATCTTAATTTATGAAAATTGTTTTTAATGGTACATAATTATAATTTTAATTTATCAAAGAATTTTTAATAATTATAACTTTAGTATTTTGATATATTATGATAGCATAAATGTTCTTTTATTTATAGTATTAAGAAACATATAAATTATTTATTATACAAATTTTCGTATCCCATTTAAATGTTAATGATAATAAAAAATAAGAAATAACTTGTATGTGGACTAAATATATACTTTCAAAATTATTAAATTTGCAAAATTTATACATTATATATATATATATATATATGTTTTAGAAAGAAAAATTTTGTTCTGTATGTTTGAGTAGATTGTCTACTTGACTGTAAGTGTACTTCAGGAGGGAAGGATTAAATAAATAATATACCAAGTTTTATTAAGATTATTTGCTTTTATATTAAATAATAGTCTTATAATGTATAATTAATATTGAACATGTTTTACAATGAATATTAAGATATAAAAAAATAAATGCAACTATGTACAAATTCATGTACCTTTGTATTTGAAATTAACTTTTGTGTATTTGTAAAACTCGAAGTTTATAATATAAGTTTTCATTCTATTTTAAATAATTGTTCCTTTACCCATATAAAAATAAATTATAAGTCTCATACAATAGGAAATTTAATCGTATTTATGCATTTCTAACTTTTATTTATATTTAATTTGTTGAGATTCCAAGATTTGTTCCTTTGTGACGAAGGAAAAACAAATAAATTAAATTTATATCAGATCTAGAAGATGTGTGAGAATACTTTCAATATTATTCTCACATATTACATCACATATTTGAGAATAATATCTTCAATATTTTATGTTACAGTATTTTTTTGTACTTGTAATTAAATAACTTTAATAAATATGTAGTATTACATCAGAAAATATAAAGAGTATTTGAATCTTATATATAAAATATTATTTGATACATAGTATATAAAATTGTATTACATCGATTATTTATAAATGAAAGTATATAAATAAATAAATAATATACATATAATGTATATATCTAATTTTTTATATATAAAAATATTTATATATATGTTACGCACGTAATGTTCGCGGCGT